ATATATATACTCGATCAAAGATGCATAAATACAAAAATACCAACACATATAAGTTCATCTCAACAGTGAAAAACTCATTCTCAACTCAATTTATTGTTAACTTATAAGTTACTGTTAAACTTAATCTTATATTTAACTTAAACTTAATATTTAACTTAAATTACTGTTAAAATAACATTAACTTAAACTTAATCTTATATTTAACTTATAACTTAATCTTATATTTAACTCAAATTACTGTTAGTGTTAACTTAATATTAACTTAAACAATTAAACTTAAGTACTGTTAAGTTAATTTTATATTTAACTTATAACTTAATCTTATATTTAACTCAAATTACTGTTAACTTAATATTAACCACTGTTATAAATAACGATAAATAGCCCCGTAATAGCGGCGCTAATAGCGTTAGCGGTCCCTTCTCCCAACGCTATCGCCCGCTACGCTATCGCGCAATAGCGGTGGTATATTGTGAAATGTGTCTGTTCGCAAAAGCGGACAATAGTGTGTCATAACAATAAATAGTGAGCGATTGCATTCGAAATTTGATTTTTGACTGCTATTTAAAAGCGGTTTGATACTTTTTTTTTAAATTAAACTCAACTCTTGACCATTACATTCCACCGTCTCCTGTGTTTTTTAGCATACTTCCACCACCTCTCATAGCCTCTGGCACCTACCTTGATATTTCCTCTCACCCCCTTCACCATGAGCTCCTCTTAGGGTAGTCCTGTCACCGCTAAGCTCTTCTTCTCGAAGACGACGATTTTTTGACTCATCCAGTCATCTTCGGTATTACGTGATGATTACATGTCTATTTCATGTTTAGGATCTTTTTAAATCATCCAATATGTACTTTTAGATTTTTTAGATTTTTCTTTAATTTTTTTTAGTATTTATACATATCTAAATTAGATCGCTATTTGACTTTACGCTTTTTACCGTTATTTTGCCGCAATAGCCCGAAATAGCCTTAGCGATGCCTCACCGCTACGCGACGCTATCCGCTATTGATAACCTTGATATTAACTTAAATTTAAACTTTAAGTACTGTTAAATTATTCTTATATTTAAGAAGTCTGGCCCTTTAGTCATTTACCTTGTTCCAGAGATCGACGCTGACTCCCAAGGGCTTCGACTAAATTTTTGGTTCCGAAGATGAGCTCGGAGATTGAAGACGAGCTCAGAGATGAGAACGAAAGCGAATAGCTTCGACGAGATCGAGGACGAGATCGAAGACGAGCTCAGAGATCGAAGACGAGATCAAAGACGAAAGGCTTCGACGAGATCGAAGACGAGGCTTCGACAGAGGCGACTTCGACGAGGCTTTGATAGTCAACGAGGCCACGGGAGGCTTCGACGAGTTCGAAGAGCTTCGATGAGTAACAGAACTTGAAGGTCGATGGAAATTTTGTGGCGACGTTGGGTGAGTGAGAATTAGGGTTACTATAATTTAGTTTAGTTTGGGTTTTGGGTTTTTCAGCGCCCAGATTGATTTTTTTTCAATTATAGGGCGGGCCGCTTACGCGGGCTGCTTAGCTCTGGGCGGCTGTGTAGGCGCTCCCAGCGCCTAAAGTTGGCCACTCGGGGCTTTTTAAGATGCCTTGGGCACCGCCTCGCCTAGGCGGCCGCCTAAGGCTTTCTTTAAAACACTGTTAATTGCTATTTGATAAAAAATAAAACTAGACAGTAAAATTTGGTTTTGGCCCATAAAAATCATGAAATTTTAAGTATGCATAATTAATTGTCGTTGGGTCGGGACAAACAAAAATCAACAAAAATCGTAGGATATCACATGTAGAAATCGTGAATTTGAAGTACGCATACTTAATTGACTTTGGATAGATTGGAACAAAAACGAATAAAAATAGTGAGTTATAGCTGATGAAAAATCTAGGATTTTGAAGTTCATATAATTAATTGACATTGGGTCGGGACAGATAAAAATGGACAATAGTGACGTATTAGAGCCTATGAACATCGTGAACTTTTGAAGTATGCATGCTTAATTGCCATTGGGTCAAAATAAATGGAAGTTGGCAAAAATTATGGATTATAAGCTTATGAAAATCTTTAATTTTTAACTATGCACATTTGTTTATCACTGGATCGAAACAGTTAAAATAGACTAGAACCATGGGTTAACCATGAAAATCATAAATGATGAAGTATGCATGCTTATTTGTTATTGGATCAAACAAACAAAATTGGACAAAAATCGTGAGTGCTCATGACATCGTGATTTTCAAACATGCACACTTAATTGTCATTAGATTGGGATGAAGGAAAATGGACAAAGATGAGGGGTTATAACCTATAAAAATCATGAATTTAAAGTACATATTTTTAATTGCCTTCGGGTCAAAATGAACAAAAATGAACAAAAATCATGGGTTATAAGTTATAACTCATAAAAACTTTGAAATTTTGAAAGCCCTCTATTTGGTTCACATTGGATTGAAACAAACAAAAAATGAAAAATAATCTGAGTAGCCAATGAAAATCGTAATTTGCATGCTAAATTACCATTGTATTGAAACGAATGAAAATAGGCAAAAATTGTGAGTTATTTCTCATAAAATTGTTAGTTTCTAAGTATGTATAGTAAATTGGCATTGGATAGAAACAAACAAAATTGAAAAATAATCATGGGTTAGTCCTTTAGAGTAATAAGTTTGAAGTGTGTGTATTTAATTGTTGTTATGTTGAAACGAATGAAAATGAATAAAAATTGTGGGTGATAGCTCATTAAATCATAAATTTAGAGATACGTGTACTTAATTTTCATTGGGTTGAAACTAACAAATATGGATAAATATAATGGGTTATTAGTCTATCGAAATCGTGAAATTGTGAAGTACACATAATTAAACCGCATTTGGTCAAAAGAACGAAAATGGAAAAAATATGAATTATAGCCCATAAAAGTCACGAATTTTGAAGCATGCGTAGTTTGTTGTCATTATGATGAGATAAACAAAAATGGACAAAGACCGTGGATTATAACTCATAAAAATCATGAATTTGTAGTACGCGTAGTTAATTGACCTTGGGTTGAAATGAATGAAAATAAACAAAAATCACGAGTTGCAGACTATGAATATCGTGAATTTTGAATTTTGAAGCATGCGTAGTTTGTTGTCATTATGATGAGATAAACAAAAATGGACAAAGACCGTGGATTATAACTCATAAAAATCATGAATTTGTAGTACGTGCAGTTAATTAACCTTGGGTTGAAATGAACGAAAATAAACAAAAATCACGAGTTACAGGCTATGAATATCGTGAATTTTGAAATTATCATTTTCAATTAACCTTGGGTCAAAGCAAGCGAAAATGAACACTAATAATTGGTTATAGCTCATGAAAATCGCAAAATTTAAGATGCACATGCTTAATTGCCATTGGATTGAAGCGAACGAAAATAAAAAAATATTGATTTAGCCCATGAAAATCCCTAATTTTTCATGTAAGCAGATAAATTGCCAATTGATCAAGACTGGAAAATAAAAGGGAAAAAAAATTATGGGTTAAACCCTAGAAAATCATGAATTTTGAATAATGTATATTTAATTTTCATTCGGTTGAAAAGAGCGAAATGAACAAAAATTGTAGGTTATAGCTCATGAGATCGTGAAATTTAAAATACTTGTACTTAATTTCTATTGGATTGTAACAGGTAAAAATGGACAAAAATCATGAATTATAGCTCATAAAAATCAGGAATTTTGAGTATGTGTAATTAATCATCATTGGGTTAGAATGAATGAAAATGGATAAAGATCATGGATTATAACCCATAAAAATCATGAATTTAAAGTACACATGCTTATTTGTCTTTGGGTTGAAATGAACGAAAAAAAAAAAAAAAATAGTGCGTTATAGCCCATAAAAATTTTGAATTTTGAAGATGTCGTACTTAATTGATATTTGGTCGAAACAGGCTAGAATGGAATGTAGTCATTGATTATCGCGCTTGAAAATCGTGAAGTTTCAAAGTATTGTTCTTATTAGCATGGGGTCGAAACAAAGGAAAATGGACAAAAATCACGGGTTATAAGCCTCTAATAATCTCAATGAACAATTAACACTGAGGGTAAATTGGACATCATGCAATTTGCTTTCTCCTTAGGCTCCGTTTGGTACGCCCAATACCAAAGCCACTATGGGGAAGATAACGCTGCGTAAGAAAGGACTACATAAGGGAGAGCTTGGACTTTAGCGTATGAAGGGAAACAGATAATGACCCACTGATGGTATGAGCTTGAGCAAAACCATAGGACCTCGTCAACCTGAGGTTACCTGTTTACTTGTACTTCTTGCTCTCTTTTAATTTTTTCGATCGTGCTTGTTTTAAGTTCTTTGTTCAGAGACTATGGTAATTTATTGTCTCACAAAAGGGTACACAAATTAAAAGGTACTAATGCAGTTGATTAAGGTTGTCAATGCCTGCACAAGCATTATGTTCTTCAAGATAGTACTGGGAGTTCTAGCTTTCTAGTATGTTGCTGAGTTAAATGTTAGCTCTTGCACGTATCCTATATAAATTAGTTAGAATGTTATTGCATTTGTTTTCTCTTGTGGACGACTTCCTTTATATTGTCCCTTTTAGGGAGAGACATTTTGTCTTATTGGTATAACTGTACCGCCCTCAATTTGCTCTCTGATTTGATTATCTTAATCTATCTTAATCTTGGTGCCTTTAGTGTTTTGCATGACATGACCCGCTTGATGTGCTATCGTATAGATTTGATTATCTCTACCTTTCTTTTCCTTCCTCACGAAATTGAATAATTATATCAAAAATATTTTCAAAATGCACAAGGCATTAACATCAGTCGAAGTATTTCGCATAATATATGAATGTGTCTAGTAAGGGTTTTATTTTGTTATGTGTAAATATCTGCGTTCTTAGTTTATTTCTCATTTGCATATGGGAATCAAAATTTACTTAGTTCAGCTGCAATCAATCCTCATATGTTCTCTGTTTGTGCAGGCATAGCAGTGGCGGATGCTCCTGTGAAAATCAGTGGAGTTCACAAACGTGGATGGAAATATATAGCAGATAGCAAGAAAAAAGTAATTGAGACTAGGCCAGCAGAGGAGCCGACTCCAGCGTAGTCTTGTTCCTGCTCATATTTCTTCACTTTTTAATCCCCTTCTCACCTTTTCCCCTCTTCAGCAGCGGTCTTTCTTTCACTGCTTTGTTACGCGAGGGATTTGATTTTTGAATGAGTCAATGTATCAAGAGATGCAGGTGAGATGCAGTCTAATAAAATACACGTCAATGTGAAGATGGACAATGATGGAAATATCAATGAATCCTCCATAATTGTTTTTTATGTTATTTTATTTTTATTATCCAGAAATATCAATATTAGGCGTAGAATGATGAAACTGAAATTGAATTTCAGCATCTGATGCTTATCCAGATACATGTAAGAAGCATAGCAAATTCTAGCAAAGAGTTCGTGCGGTGATTTTGTTTTAAGCATCCTTCCGTTAATTTGTTCCGAGGGGAAAATAACATGCTCAATTAGCCAGGTAAAAATTGTATGTGAATGGGTAATCTGCAATTGTGGAAGTGTGGCTGGCCTGTCAACTTTTGAGCCTCCATTTTGAGACATGACGCGTCCATCACCTGCTCACAGAAAAACACAGTAGCATAATAATGCTTGTCCCTTGTCCAGTCGGTAAATCTGCAGTCAGTTATATCGGCGGTTAGATGGTGGTGTTAAGTATTGATGATGGGTTGTTTTTGTTGGGAATTTAACGCCTAAATCCCCTAATGCAACGGAAACGCGGTATAGAGAACAGTACACCAAGATTTACGAGGTTCGGCAACTGCCTACGTCCTCGGGAGCCACACAGTAAATTTCTTATTAATCCAACAAGAAATTACAATTTTAGGAGCAGATCCCTAAACTGGGATTTCTCAAATAAACACTGTAGCTACAGTGTTAATAATAACAGGGTATGAACCCTTTCAATACCCACTTGAGAATAAATACCCCACAATCAAACTCCTCTTTAATTCTCTCTCTCTCTCTCTCTCTTAATCTCTCTTTTAATCTCCCCTCAAAACACCCCTTTGAGAGCTGGAGAAAAATCGAAATCGCTACTGCGATTTGGGAAAACGCTGCTGCGTTTTAGGGCAGTTCGCCGCCGCCGCCAGAGAGAAAGAATCGGAGGGGAGGGGGGAAGAATCAGCAACCCAAAACCCTAAGCTGGGGGTTTCTTTTATAGGCGGATGAGGAGGAGGAGCTGGCGACAGCCTGTCGCCAGCGGCTACTTGGACGCCAAGTTCGGACCCCCCCCAAAAACGCAGAGCTCGCCATCGCAACGCAGAGCTCGCCATCGATCCTGTGACGCAGAGTTCGACCATCGACGCAGAGCTCGCCATCGACGCCAGCTTCGAACGAACGCAGAGCTCGAGGCTTCGAGCTTGTCCTGTCGCCTGGACCTCGCCGCCTGTCGCCTGGACCTCGCCGCCGCCATCCTGGAGCTCGTCGGAGCTCCTCCGCCGCCGGAGGTTGGTATCCACCCCCAACCTATCAGTTTTCTTCCTCGATTTTATGTCTGAATCTTTGAGTGGGGTTGATGAATCTGTACAAATAGCAATTCATAAGAGAACATGGTTTTTGGTTTGATGAGTCTACATAAATAGAAACTCACGAGAAGACAGGGTTCGGAGAGGACATGTTTGATTCCCCGTGGTTCCTCTAACGATCAAGTTAACTCATCCACTTGATCAGTG